GCATCAGAGGAGCAGGAAGGCTGATGTATCAGGCTAGACCCTTCTTCAGAAAATCTAGGCCCGAAACATCAGCCTTCCTGCTCCTCTGATGCTGCTTGGCCTGCTGTGTTCCTCCAGCTCTACACCTTGTTATCTCAGATTCTCCAGCATCTGCAGTTCCTACTATCTCTCTGAAATATACACTGTTTTCCTCAACTGAGGACTCCCTACCACTGGTTGACAGGGTTTTCAGCCATGTCTGTCCCACTTCCTGCACTACTTCCTTCGCGCAACAACGATAGTGTAACCTTGTCCCTGCTTACCATCCCACCTGAATCCACATCCAAAAGATCATTAGTCGCCACTTCTGCCATCTCCAACAGGATGCTGCCACCACCACCAGGGACCTGTTCCCCTCCCTTGATGGTAGTCTGCAGGAACTGTTCCCTCTGGGACATCCTGGTCCACTCCTCCTCCATTCCTGTGCTCCCACAACTCTTTTTTTCCATGTAGTCACAGAAGGTGCAGCATTTTACGTCCAATTTACGTCCTCCCTCCTTGCTATCCATGGTTCCAGATGCACCTTCCAGTGAGTTACCTGCACTTCACTCACTCTAGTCTACTGTATTCGCTGCTCACAATGTGGTCTCCTCCACATTAAGGATACAAGGGCTCCCATTTTGCAGATCACCTACATTCTGTCTGCAAAAGTGATCCTAAGCTTCTGGTTGCCTGCCACTTCGTTGCACCACCGTGCTCCCTGGCCAACATCTGTCTCAGGCTTACTGCAGTGTTCCAGTGAGGCTCAGTGCAAGCTGGAAGTACAGCATTTTGTTTTCTGCTTGGAGACCCTGTAGCCTTCAGGATTTAACATAAAGTTCAGTGATTTCAGGGCCTGAGTACCTTCTACCTTTACCCACTCCCACACTCTGGGCCCTGCCATCACAGACCCATTTTCACCACCTAACGGACTGCATTAGCAGGTTTTCTCTCTTCCAGGCTCACCATTATCTGTTCCTTTGTCTGCCTAACTTTCCCTCTGTACTTGGTGTCCACCTATTGCTTACTCCTTTATTCCCCCACCCCCCTGAGTCTTCAGCACATACAGCACCTTTCCTTGTTACCATCAGCTCTGAAGAAGGGTCAATGGACTTGAAACATTAACTCTGCTTTCTCTCCAAAGATGCTGCCAGGCCTGATGAGATTCTCCAGTACTTTGTTTCATGAAAATAAACATCTGCCCTAGCTAACAAGCAAAAACACCTTGTGATAAAGTGGCACCGCTATTCCTCTGCTTTTGCTGACTGTGTTGCCTTTTCTTTAAAGGACAGTTTGCCATTCGTCCTGATAAGAAATCTGAGGCCAAGATTCAAATGGTTAAACAAGTGGGAATGATTGCAGGTGGAACTGGTGAGTTTTTAAATTTTATATTATGTTCAGGTGGTGGGGAGAACAGAAGAAAAATCTGTATGAACGGACAGAAATTGTGGTTGTTGGATACGATGGTGCTGTCTTGAGGGATCAGTGTTGGGGCTAACCCTTCAGCTGGTGCTATGTAAGCAAATCCATTTATGTTCTGTTTCAAATCCTTACCCTGTTCCCATTTTTCAATCATGTGCTGGTTCTGCCTCATTTACTTTTGCTTCCAAGTTCTAATTACCCATGCTCTGCAAACATTTGTGCCAACTCCTATTATCATCCTCTGTTAATAATCAGATTTCAGAAGTGTAAGCAAACTGGATTATTTTCTGTAATGTGAGAAAAGCCAAGGATCTCAAACTTGGAATAATAGAATGATTTTAGAATCCTTTACAGCACGGAAGCAAGCTATTTGATCTCAAGTCTGCACTGTTCCTCTGAACAACATCCCACCCAGACCCACTCCTCTAATCAAGTATTTCCCTGTACATCCTTGGACACTATCTGGGCAATTTAGCATGGCCAGTCTGCGTAATCTGCACATCTTTGAACTGTGGGAGGAAACTGGAGCACATGGAGGAAACCCACGCAGACACGGGGAGAATGCCTGTGTGGATTTTGCTCAATTGCCTGAGGGTGAAATTGAACCTGGGTCCCTGGTGCTGTGAGGTATCATTGCTAACCACTGTGCCACCCAACTTGTCTTATTCTGCCTTCTGTCAGGTCAGTTGTGGCTCTCTTCCCTCCGAGCTAGACAACTCCAGAGCTCTGAGCCTCTTAAAGCAGTCCAACATATGCAGTGCAGTAATGGAGGAATGCTGCATGTTGGTGGTGCTGTCTTTTAAAAGAAACAAATCAAGACTCCGTTCCCTGTGTGGGCATGAAAACTCCCACTAGCTGTTTGCTGCAGAAGAACTCTTTCCCTGAAGTGCATTGAGTGGGTTGGGGGGGGGGGGGAAGCAGAGTTGCTGAGTGCATATTGGCTGCTATGTTTTCTCGTACTCGAATGGCAACTATACAAAAAATGTGAAGGACATGGGGACATTCTGAGGAATTGGAAGAGGCTACAGAAAGGCAGCTGCTGCTTTCTCAAAATGCAGACAGGCTGAGTGTGAATATTGAATCTTTTCAGGTATAACTCCCATGCTGCAACTGATCAGGGCGATCGTGAAGGATCCAGAGGATCTCTCAATCTGCCACCTGCTGTTTGCCAACCAGGTATGTTGGTTTTCCTTTGCTGGTCAGATGAGACATTGGATAGTTTAGTAATCAGTGAGAATTTCTGTTGGTTTGCACAAGAAGTCTGTTTTATTGAAATTCAGTCAGCTGGTTTTCCTCCAATACTTACTCTTCTACTAACATTAACTAAAACAGATGATCATCCTTTTGGATGTTTTGAGGAAGCTTACTGTGTGAAAATCTGCTGCCGTGTTTCCTGGATACAGCTTCAGCACTTGGGAATACATTAGTTGTAAAATATTTTGGAGATGCTTTGAAGTGGTGAAAGGCAGTATATAAATGCAAGTCAACAAGGTGCAGGGCTGGATGAACACAGCAGGCCAAGCAGCATCAT